CATTTGCACTATTGAGGGAACAATGGTGGCTGCTACCGCAGCAGCACATGTGTTGGCAAAGCAGTAACCCTCTAGCTCAGCCCAGTTTCACTTACCCCGCTCATTGACCATTGAAGCCACCGTCGCCTTCGATATTGTTGCTCCGATTCTGGTCTAACGACCTTTTACACAAGGGATCTATATCGCTAAGCCAAGCGTCTCCAAAAATCAACTTCTTGTCATCCCCGATGTTGCACTATAGACTTTTGTAACGTCTTTCAAACCATGCATTCATTTCCAAATACGAGATCCCTTATGCGGCAGTAATGTGGCCGGAGTATCATCCATGATTTTATATTTGGTTCGAATAACTGAAACCACAGTTCGATCCTTTTTGGTTATAAAGTTGAAACCTACCTTCATTAGGATGCATATTCGTTCCCTTTTGAGTAAACAAATAGTACCAAGCTTGGTATCGTTGCTATGAATTATATCAAAGACAGAAGTATCACATCGAGGGTTCATGAGGACTCATAAAAAGCGAACAAAAATCATCATGATAGGGAATGTGTAACATTCAATACTCTATTAGGATGGTCCCACCCTAATATCTAATGCCATATTAATCGTATAATTAAATGACCAAGTACAGATTCACATTTTAAGTTTTCTTAATTAGCATGGTTAAAACAAAATTTCATTCAATCATAACATACACACACAAGATATGACATAATCAATCGTGGGCAAACAAGGGACGCACATAATTCTAAGAAAAACAATCATGCATAGGAATATTATGTCTTTTTTCATCACAAGATATTACCAAATTTGCACTTTAATGTTACGAAAGTTGAAAGCAAACATATATGCATTACACAAATGTCAGTTTAAAGAATTTAAAATACTTGAATAGCAAAAACATTAATTTAGGGACTAAAACATAAGTCTAATGATTTATAGATCCTTATATAATGATATTATCCTAAATAATTAAAATGATAAGTATTTTAAAAAATATTAGAAAATTTATACAAATATATTACTTAAATATTAGATGAAATGAATTGATCTAAGTGTATATGGATATTTGAATCGATGAGAACTTACTTATTCGTGTGTCTTATAAAGACATGAAAATCAATTTACGATAATTTGCTGTATACTTTGAATTGAAACTCTTGAAGAATTTCAAAAGCATTTTGATAGTTAAAGATACAAAATTTAAAATTAAGTTTCTTCTTGACTTGTAGTGAGTAGTTAAATGAATGTTCTCTATAAATAGATACATTGAAAAGATCTTAAAGAGATTCAATATGAATAAAATCATGAAATACCTCGATGATTGAAAAATTATCAATAAATGAATAAATATATATTTTTTTGATTAAGAGAAAAAAATTCTTGGTCTTTAGGTACTAATCTCAGTTGGTTTAGAACCACTATATCTTAGACAAGAAACACCCCATCTTAGCTGGACTAAAAGCATTATCTAAGTGCTACAAGATCATTACCTTTAAATCTTCAAATATTATTTGATACATGTACAAATAATATAGAAATAATTACTATATATGAGATAAGTCGAGAAAGTAATTAGATAAAATTGTTGATGTAGGTTATCTAAAAGATATGTGATTTGGCTCCACATGATAAGATGTCAACTATTTTGTACAAAGATAAATGTATCAGCTCAGTTGAAAAGACAACACATGATAGGATATCTAGAAGATATGTGATTGAGTTTTAGACTGCTTGAATATTGGGGACTTCATTTAACAATCTTAATGGTGGAGGAGGCGTTGTTGGTGAGAGGTGGAGGCCATTTGACAGACGACGTAGGTCAATGTTTAATTTTAGTGAATATTTGGGGTGATTTTGTGTTTTTAGGAGATAAGGCGAATCTTATTGGCCACCGTAATAGAGTATATTTTATATTGAAAATTACTTTATTATTATAATCTATTAGTTGAGTGACCCGATTGTAATCTTTTGAAATGCATTATCTTTTTATGATTAAAATATTCTTGGTTAGATTGAGGTTTGCAATTTAAAGGTACAATCATTTGATTTACAATCGATTAATTGAGTAAATCAATTGTTTTATTGACATTAAGTGACTCATTTGTAAACGTACTAATAATTGAATGACATGTGTTGTAATTTATCCAAGAAAACCCTTTACTTCGTTAGATCTCGAAGTTAACTGATCGATTAACATAAAGCAAATCAAATTAGTTAATACTAATATCAGACTGTTGGCTTTTAGAAGTCTCTAGACTCTCTCCATCTTGATGTTATTTTTAAATTCCCATGGTCTCCAAGTAGCTTTTCATCAACAACAATCACCCATGGAAGAAGGCTTCGATTTCCCAACAGCCACCGGCATGGAGGAGGAGGAGGAGATGGGCATCCCAGAAGATGACCCAGTTAGCTCAATTCTCGAAGTTGGAGAGGAGAAAGAGATTGGGAAAAATGGGTTGAAGAAAAAACTGGTTAAGGAAGGTCAAGGATGGGCGACCCTCCAATGGTGATGAAGTTGAAGGTACCCATCTTCTTCGTTCATTGATTTGGTTATTCTTTTGTTTGATCTTATTTTTTTTATTTTCAGCTGACGGGTTTGTTGATTTTTGTTTACGTCTGTTTTTTTTTTGTCAGTACATTATACTGGAACTTTGCTTGATGGAACTAAGTTTGATTCCAGCCGCGATAGAGGGACTCCTTTTAAATTCAAGCTTGGCTAGGTAGATAATTTTTATGCCCAGCTTCATTTATTGATTAGTTTAGTTAGTTTCTCGGTTAAAGCTGGGTGTTTTTATAATAAAAAAATGCGATGAACTTGAAAATTCTGAATCTCGTGATAATGATAAAAAAATCATGGATTTGTTGATACGTGGAATAATTAAGCAAGTGCTTTTTACTAGAAAATTGCTTGGATAAACTATGTTTCTAAATTCTGAATTGAATTAGGTCTGAACTGTAGGATCTTTTTTTCATGTTGAAAATTGATAGCTAAGGGTTGTCTTTGATAAAAACCATGCAACATAGGTTACATCCCGATCCCGTTGCGATATTTGGATGTTGTTATATGGAAGTACTGAGAGAACTTGAAGGTTACTTGTCCGAAAAGAAAAGTGAAAAGTGATGTTATATGTGCCAAAGTTAATGAAATAATAAGTGAAATGGTATGATATTTCGATGTGTTCTTGAAGCATTCAGAAAACAGTAAGGTTATTTATCCAAAAAGGAAAAAAAGAGGCTATAGCTACCTAATTCAGTGAAATAATACAGTGAATTAATTTAAATTTCTGACTATTTTGGTTCTGGAGTATCTCTCTGTAGCAACATGAATTGGGTATACTAACTTTTTTCTTTCAGGACTAGTAATCAAGGGCTGGGATGAGGGTATCAAAACATGAAGAAGGGTGAAAATGCCATTTTCACAATACCTCCCAAATTGGCATATGGTGAAACTGGAGCAGCTCCAACTATTCCTCCTAATGCAACACTTCAATTTGATGTGGAGTTGCTTTCTTGGACCAGCATCAAGGATATATGCAAGATGGAGGGAATCCTAAAGAAAATAGTTGCTGAAGGGGAGAAATGGGAGAATCCGAAAGATTGGATGAAGTGTTTGGTAAATATAAATTCATTTCCTCTTGCTGCTTAAATTATTTAAATATCTTATGTAACTATGTGCTTACCGTGTTATAGTTAGGTATGGAGCTTGTTTAGAAGATGGTACACTAATCAGAATGTGATGGAGTGGAGTTCACTGTTGAAGATGGTTCGTTTTCATTCCTCTTTATCACACTCACTTATCCTCATTGAACCATGCTAGCTTAAATATGACAGTGAACTTTGCACTGACAGGCTTATTCTGCCCTGCGTTGGCAAAGGCAGTAAAAACGATGAAGAAAAGGGAGAAAGTGTGGTTGATAGTGAAGCCACAGTGTAAGTTAAGTTCCTTTATATTTATATTGGTTATGGCATGCTATGAACCTAATCTATAGCTGTTTGCTTATAGATGCATTTGGTAAGGATGGTAGGCCGGCAGTGGGCAGTGAAATTGCTGTTCCTCCAAATGCTACCTTCATATTACTCTTGAGTTGGTTTCTTGGAAAAGCATTTCTGATGTCACAAAGAACAAAAAGGTCTTGAAGAAGATCTTGAAGGAGGGAGAGGGTATGAGCGACCAGATGATGGAACAGTGGTTCAAGGTAAGATGGCATGGAATTCTATGTTTTTTATATATATATTCCAGTGTTTCATTGCTCTTCTTTGTACTGCTTGCTAGTGAAATTAATTGGGAAGTTGGAGGATGGAAAGATTTTGTGAAGAAGGGTCATGCCTTGGAACCCTTTGAGTTCAAAATCGATGAAGGTGATGATAATTTTTCATCCTAATTTGTTTCTTTCTTGACTTGTTCTTTCTTATCTTTCCTCACATTAAGATCTCATGAGTCATGACATAGTAGCGTTTTGTTTCATACCTTGCCTTCATTGAAAGTTTCTAATATAGATGACATTGTTATAGAGCAAGTAATTGACGGTCTTGATAAAGCTGTGAAGACCATGAAGAAAGGAGAACTTGCACTTATCACTATTCAGCCAGAAACGCTTTTGGTTCATCCGAATCACAGCAGGAGTTGGCTGTTGTTCCTGTAAACTCAACAGTGTATTACGAGGTTGAGATGGTCTCTTTGTTAAGGTTAGCATATTGCTTTTTACCCCTATACTACATCTGTTCACCGCGAGTGGTGTTGTGGTGACCCAGGCTTTTTTATTGCAGGAGAAAGAATCTTGGGACATGAATGCTCAGGGAAAGATTGAAGCTTCTGGGAAGAAGAAGAGAAAGAAGGAATACTTTATTCAAGGCTGGTAATATGAAAGAGCATCGAAAAGATATGCGAAGGTATGTTCATGTAACATGCACTTTGTCATTTAGGCAAATCTGGAGACTCTTTTTTATGATTTGCCTGTTCACAGCAATGCCTTTGGCTTTTAGGTTCATAGAATGACTCCTCTTTCAGTGATGAGGAGAAGCGGCAAGCTAAGTTGCTAAAAGTAACATGCAATCTCAACAACGCAGCTTGCAAATTGAAACTCAAGATTACAAGAAGGCTAAGAAATTGTACAGAGGTTATAGGCTTGTAGCTTTAATTGAATTTGTGTTGTTGAAATGTAAATGTTTTGCATTCATGCTGAAAGTTAGGCGCGTGCGATTTTGTAGGTGTTAGAACTTGATGATAGAAATGTGAAAGCACTATATAGGAGGGCTCAAGCTATATTCAACTTGTTGATTTCGAATTGGCAGAGGCAGATATCAAAGGGCCCTAGAGATTGACCCTGATAACAGGTATTTCTCTACTGAAACTGTTGTCTGTATCGGATAATATGGTTGCTTTTATTTCTTAGCTATATTCACTGCATCCTACCTTGTATGAGTAGCGACATACGAGCTGGGTAGGAATTTATCTCAAATGTTCTAGGTGAATATGCGTTTTGCTGCACTTGGGAAGTAGTGGTATCTTGTTTATGCAGTCGTTTTTTGAATGAAGCTAGAAATAAGGACTCGAAAATGAAATTTAAAGTGATGTTGGATAAGAAATCGAGTTGCTTGCAGTATCCTTTCCCTTGTGTTTTCACCCTAGAGTTTTATTTGAATGAACTTGTGATTGCAGTTGAAGTTAATTTACCAATCCTGTTTGCAACAGGGTGTGAAACTCGAGTACTGTGTCCTAAAGGAGAAAATCAGAGAGTACAACAAGAAGGATGCACAGTTTTATGGCAATAATTGCAAAGATGAGCAAGTTAGAGGAAGCAAAGGAGACAAAGAAACAACTAAGATACAACCATTGTGAGCAGGCATGATACCATTTTCCTGAAACCAATCCTCTTTCTTCTCACCCCTTCCCCCCCTTTCTTTCTTCTCAATGTTATACAAGAGTTAAGATGAACTCTGTTATACTATAATATGCGTCAAATCACCCATAAGATTACGTACGTGCATGCATACATATTCCATAGGAAAGGTTCAGATAGTGCCTGATCATTTGGCGTGAGGTCATGTATTATGATGATGGTGTTCTGATGCATCTAACGAAAAATCTTTGTTTCGTTGGACTCGAAGCAGGTTTGTAAATTGCCGGTTATTTTGGTTTGCCTCCTGAATTCCCGTGATCGCAGCCATATTCTGGCAAAAATGGTTTGATCCCTCGTCGATCGAGTAGTGTGATGTTCAAAGATTGTGCGGCTGAAGTTCATGCCGAATTTGCAGCTGAGAATAACTAGAGATCAATCATCCCAAAGTCATTCCACTTTGTATCAAGACTTTCAAGTTAAAAGTATAGCCATTGCACTTTATAACATTGTTACATGGCCCTAGAATTTGTCTGGTTTTATCTTGCTAAATTTTATGCGATGATAATTGTAATCAAACTCTAGTGTTTTATAAAATGTATAATTTATACAAACAAGTAAAATTGATAAAATGTTATTAGAAAATCATTTAAATGTTGAGAGGAACTTTTAACTACCATCATTGGGAGAAAATCAACCCTTAATTTTATTTTTTTTAAATATTTTTTATAAAAAATGTTTATTTTTAAAATTTTATTTAATAAATAATTATTGATAGAATGATAAAATTTTGTGTACAAGGTTATTAATTTTATGTTTGATAATTAAATAATATTTTTATTGTTTTATTTAGAAACTACATTCAAGGTGTCAACTTTTAATTTATTTTTTATGTCAAATGTAAATTAATTCCCATTCATATGTTTATGAGTATGATTTGTATAATTTATTTATGTAGGATAATGATTAATATTAATAAAAATAATAGATAAAATGATAATAAAATAAATCTCAAGAAAAATATATTATTATTATTAGTAGTATAAAATTAATTATTATTTTTTAACTAAATTAATATTTGATTAATTTAGGATGATAATTATCCAACTGTGATGTATATAAACCTTTTACATTTTATAATAGATCTTCGATAAATATTCTTGCAATAAATTAAGATACTTGTAATTATTTTAATGTAATTATGGAAAAACATTTGGCTATTAATAATAATCTTTTAAAATTATGCTTTAGTAATGGGCCATATCGTACCCAATCTGGCCCGTTAAGACAGTTTTCCCTACAGATAAACCCTTCTTTTCCCGTGATACATGGACCGTAGAGATGAACATTTGTCGGATTTCAATCCGATCCGGATCGGTTTTTATCCGATCCGGTTTTTTTCATAGAAAAAAAACCGGTTTATAAAATAACCGGTTCGGTTTTTAACCGGTTTGGAGGGCCGAATATCCTAACCGGTGTAACCGGTTTCAGTTTTAAAAAAATCGGTTTTTTTAAAAAACCGGTTATAAAAAAACCGATTTTAATATTCCAGATTGCTCATAGGGAATCGATTCCCCCCCAAGGGGGTACCGATTCCTCACTGAATTGTTTGGCTCCGAGATTTTCAGAATGCTCGGAGGGAACCGATTCCCCCATAGGGGGTACCGATTCCCCCCTATTTAACGGTCGAAATATTTGAATTTTACACTTAGGGAACCGATTCCCTATGAGAGGAAACCGATTCCCTATGAGAGGGTACCGATTCCCCCACGCTCCAAGCATTTTTATTAAATGTTTTCACACTTAAACGGCTATATTATTCATTATCACTAACGTTCAGAAGTGATTCAAGGTGTATTTAAGCAAGCTTAGAAGCCATTGATCAAAGACAAGAAACATCAAGCAACTAGAATCAAGAGAGAATCAAAGAGAAAGCATCAAACCTCAAGTTCGATAAATTCAAATACTTAATTGAAATACTTAATTAACTCAACATAATTGAAATACTTAAATACTTTCAAGTTTGATAAATTCAAATACTTAAAAACTTCCAAGTTCGATAAATTCAAATACTTAAAAACTTCAAGTTCGATAATTGAAACAAAGTTTACGATAATTGAAATAAAGTTATAAATAAACTACATTGCATCTCTTTCATCATCTTCGCCTTCTTCGTTGGAGGGGATATTCCAAGTTCGACTTATTCAATGTGTAAGTTTGCTTCCAAATCGGTATCAATTGCATCTTCTAGGGTGGTGATATGTTGCTTACGAGCCTCCATCCAAATAATCCTTTAAACAATGCATACTTCCACCGACTCGGGACTTAGTCTTGATCTCCGTTGCGATATAACCCTGCCACTAACAGAAAAAGCAGATTCCGAAGCTACGTAGAAGCTTGGACGGTTAGTAAATCACGGGCCATGGCGGCTAGAATCGGAAATTGTGCTTCCTTTTCTTTCCACCAAGCCAAAATATCCAAACTTTCAAACTCTTCAAATGTCATTTTTGATAGAAAATCGCATGACATGTAATTTCCCAACTCGCTACTTGGGGTGGGTAGTACGTGATCGTTTGGATTGAGAATTTACAAGAGTGTTAAAAAGATTCAAATTTATGTTACTTGGACGTCTACTAGATGATTCCGCATTCATTCTCATTTGATCGTGTATTACACTACTTGATCCGTATTTAGTTAAATAAATTGCAAACATGTCTATAAAACATTTGTTAAAATAATTTATTGGTTTTGGACAAAGTTTGGGTTCATCATCGGTTAGATTAAAAGCAAACGCAATTTGTTCAATTAGTGTTTCAAACCCCACCAACATTAACGTTGGGTTTAAAGTGGCGGCACAAGTAAAAATGTGGGGAATCTCCTTAAAATATTTTAAAAGTTTCCTTCATTGCAAAGCCAATTTCTTGAAAAACTTCGGTTTCAAATTCAAAGTCATTTAGTCGGGTAGCCAACAAAAATATTTGATTAAGAACCAACGGGCTAGTAGGGTAATAAACACCGATAAAAAGTTGTTGCATTTTTAAAAACCTCAAGCAAATCGTTTATTTGGCTATATAGTTTCCCAACTCGAATCCGGATAAATGTTTGGGACAGACCCCTCTCGAAAAGCCGATCGTGAAATGTTGCAATGTTTCCTTTGCTTAAGGCAGTATGCATCATCATCCAAGTTGAGTTCCAACGAGTTGGACAATTCAAATTAGGACCCAAAGCTTTTTTATTAACGGACTTACAAAATCGTTTATATCATTTAGTCTTTTGTTGTTGGTTACAAAGAACCGATTTTATCATTGTTTTAAATTCTAATCTAATCGGCTCAATAACCTCCAAACCGGCTTGCACGGATAATTAATTATGTGTGCAACGCAACGGGTATGAAAAAACGCACCGTCTAAAATCGGTGAAAGTAATATTTCAATCTTGGAACCGCGTTTGTATTATTCGATGCATTATCAAAGGATATAGAAAAAACTTTATTTTCTATTTATAAAGACAAATTACCCTTTTAAAAGTGTAAATAAATTAGCACCGGTATGCGGCTCACCGAATAATTCAACGCGATTGTTCTTTTCATCATTTGCCAATTATCTTGATCTAACCAATGTGACGTAACGGCTAAAAAAAGAATTTCCGGTATTTGAGGGGAACTCCAAACGTCACATGTAAGCGCCACCATAACGGTGTTCTTGAATCCTAAAATCATTTTTCCCTCGTCGTACGCCACATTTTTATAACATCTCTTTTAAGGGGTAGTACGACTTACTTGAGTATAACGGGTTGCATTAGTTGTTGAATTGTTATCGTGAAATCTTCATCATCAAAGTGGTCGAACGGCAATGCTTTGTAATCACAACTTTGTAAACGCTTCTCGTAATTTTCGTTGTCGTAAACAAAAACCCACCTTGCGGTGTAAGATTCGATTGACTAGGATCTGATCTTGAGCGAAGTGCCTTGCATGATTTTGTCAAATGGTTCTTCACGTTGTGTTCCTTCCGATGCAAGAAAACTTAGACAAAGTTTACAACGCGCCCTCCTCGAGCCATTGACATCTCACATAAATCGTAGTGATCCCAAATGTCTTTGTTCGAGTGTGTTCGATCACCTCACGACTTCAAGGTTTCCCCCGACGGAAGATTCAGCCGTGTACTCATGATGAACAAAACGGTCACAAAACCCTCCCAACGGTTATATTAACGGCTAGTTTTTTAAACCCAGACCGGTTTTTTTTTCCGGATAAAAACCTTTTTTTAACCGGTTTTTTTCAAACCGGTTTTTTATCTGGTAAAAAAACCGGTTTAGGTTTTTTTCTCCAAACCGGTTAAAATAACCGGTTTAAAAAAAATCCGATCCAGTTAAAAAAAAACCGGTTTTTCCCAAATCCGATTTCGGATATTTTTTTCGTAAAATCGGATATTCGGATTTTTTGTGCACCCCTACATGGACGTCCTTGGAAAGATATTATGGTAAAATTATCCTAATGCATTTACCTTTCTTTTTGCAATAACGGCTAAATTTGATATAATATTATAATGTGAAAAGAATATGATATATATATATATATATATATGGTTAGAAAAAATTGAAAAACTAGAATCAATTATTACCATAATATATAAATATTATAATAAAATTAATATAGAAACTCGAATAATTCGACTCAAATTTCTTAAACTCGATTTGAAATTTCAAGTTTAGTTTGAGTTGTAAAATGCGACTCATCAACTCGAATAACTCAAATTTTTTTGACTCGATCAAATGCTCACCCCTACTTTATTTTATTTTTAGAGTATTTTAATCTCAATGTTTCATTTTTTGTTAAAAATTTCATATTAGAAAAAGACGATAGTAAGTAATAGTAAACTTATATTCATGACATGACATTTTACACGAGTTAATTATTGATGTGATACATATTCTGAAATGACCATCCAACTCAGATGGTAGAGCACAAGGTCTTAACCTTGAGGTCGGGATCGAGTCTCATGGAGG